CCCTTTGCCGCCCCGGGGTCGGGGTGCGCGCCGGCCGTGGTACGACGCTCTCTCCCTCCGACGCCCTCCCGAGCCGCAATGGCCGACGCCCCCGCCAAGACGCCCGCCCCTCAGCAGCCCGCCCCGCGCAAGCGGAAGGCCGGCGAGCCGATCGATCCGTCGCGCATCCGCAACTTCTCGATCGTCGCCCACATCGACCACGGCAAGAGCACCCTCGCCGATCGGCTGCTCGAAGTGACCGGCACCGTCTCGAAGCGCGAGATGAAAGAGCAGCTGCTCGACGACATGGACCTCGAGCGCGAGCGCGGCATCACGATCAAGTCGCACGCCGTCTCGATGAAAGTCATTCATGGCGGCGAGGAGTACGAGCTCAACCTGATCGACACGCCCGGCCACGTCGACTTCCAGTACGAGGTGTCGCGGTCGCTGACGTGTTGCGAGGGCGCGCTGCTGCTGGTCGACGCCTTCCAAGGGGTCGAGGCGCAGACGGTCGCCAACGCTTACAAGGCGATCGAGCACGACCTCGAGATCATCCCGATCCTCAACAAGATCGACCTCACCTACGCCCGCCCCGACGAGGTGAAGGAAGAGATCGAGACCACCCTCGGCCTCGACGCCAGCGAGGCGATCGGCTGCAGCGCCAAGACGGGCCAGAACTGCGACGCCGTGATCGACGCCATCATCGATCGCATCCCCGCGCCCAAGGGGAGCAACTCGGCGCCCCTCCAGGCGATGGTCTTCGACAGCGTCTACGACGAGTACCGCGGCGCCATCATCTACCTGCGGGTGATGAACGGCGTCGTCCGCGCCGGCGACCGCATCAAGTTCCTCCAGGCCGGCACCGAGCACGACGTGCTCGAGGTCGGGCAGCTCACGCCGAAGCGCACGCAGCGCGACTACCTGTCCACGGGGCAGGTCGGCTACATGATCTGCAACATCAAGTCGCTCGGCCACGTCCACATCGGCGACACCGTCACCACCGCCCGCGGCGAGCAGGCCGAGCCCCTGCCCGGCTACGACGAGCCGAAGCGGATGGTGTTCTGCGGCCTCTACCCGAGCGACGGGCACGACTTCGAGAACCTACGCGAAGCGCTCAGCAAGCTGCAGGTCAACGACCCCAGCTTCGTGTTCGAGCCGGAGACCTCCGACGCGCTGGGCTTCGGCTTCCGCTGCGGTTTCCTTGGCCTGTTGCACATGGAGATCGTCCAGCAGCGGCTCGAGCAAGAGTCCGACATGGACCTCGTGCAGACCGCGCCGAACGTCACCTACAAGATCCAGACCAACGACGGCCAGTGGGACGAAGTCCACACGCCGACGCGCGTCCCCGACGCGGGCAATATCAAGGAGTTCCAGCAGCCGGTTGTGCGGGTGAACTTCGTGATGCCGGCCGAGTACATCGGCGGCGTGATGAAGCTTTGCGCCGACCGCCGCGGCGAGTTCATCCGCCAAGAGTACCTGTCGCCGCAGCGCTCGATGCTCGTCTACGACATCGCGCTGGCGGAAGTCGTATACGACATGCACGACCGCCTGAAGAGCATCACCCGCGGCTACGGGACGATGGACTACGAGATGAAGGGGTACGAGGCGGGCGACCTCGTGCGGCTCGACATCCTCGTGAAGGGCGAGCGCGTCGACGCCCTCTCGATCATCTGCGACAAGCGCGACGCCGACCCGCGCGGCCGGGCCGTCATCAAGAAGCTCAAGGAAGAGATCCCGCGGCACATGTTCGAGGTCCCGCTGCAAGCGGCGATCGGCACGCGCATCGTCGCGCGCGAGACGATCAGCGCGATGAGCAAGAACGTCACGGCCAAGTGCTACGGCGGCGACATTAGCCGGAAGAAGAAGCTGTGGGCGAAGCAGAAGGAAGGCAAGAAGCGGATGAAGTCGATCGGCAACGTCGACATCCCGCAGAAGGCGTTCCTGGCGGTGCTGGAGACAGGCGACGACGACTCGAAGAAGTAACCCCCCCCCTGCAGAGGGGCTTCCTGTGCGGCGTTTGGCTTCGGAGCACACTCCCCGCCAACCGCACCCCGTGAACGGGTGTTTAGGCGACCATAGAGGGGTCGTACAACAACTTTCGCATCCTCCATCGACAATCTAGTCGACCAAGGCTTGAAACGCCGCAAACGGCCGCCCAGGGGCCCCATGCGCGGCGCCCGCGACGGCGGCATTAGACGAGCGTTCGCCCTCGCCGACGGCCAGCTCGTAGTTCGTAAGGTGCGATAAAGCGCCAGCGGAATGGCGCGCCTTCACGGCGTCGATCGGGGGGCGTTCTGCCCGCCGAGGGAAACTGGGGAGGTGCGATTGAATCGCACCCTACTCACGTGTCCGTTCCGCGGACCGCAGGGGCGGGCATCGGGCGGTCGAATTTCCGATCGATCAATGAGTTCGGCGACGCGGTTTTCGATCGGTATCAGCAGTTCTACGATCAGGGCTTCTCAATTGCCCAGCGACGTGTCGCGGCTGGTCGGTTGGCGAACAACGCCCGTGACATTGGAAGCGCGACGGACCGGTACGCTCGTCTGCAGCTACGCCGATGGCTCGCCAACGAAGGAATCGACGAGGGAGCAGGCGGCATCATTCAGGTGAACCGCTGGCTGCGTGATCCAACCGCGGGGAGCAGTTCCTACCGCATCCCGGATGTCCGGATACCTGGGGCCAACGTTTCGCTCGACGGGACGATTGGCTGGAAGTCGGCGACGACGCCTCAGATTCGCGACTTCCGGCTTTTCTCCGGTGGTGATAACGTAACTATTGTGAGGCCGACTCAGACAGGAGGTTCATATGGCATCGTCTTCCCCTGAAGCAGACCCAGCCAAGTACTTTGGCTTCAAGGACCTCCACGGGTTTAAAGACTTTGTGGGATTTGTGATTCTATGCGCACCGGACGAGTTTCCGAGCGATGACTGGCTGCAACCCGAAGAGCAGATGAACGTCGAACGCGCGTTCGTCGGTCTGCGCTATGGGCTAGATGTCACAGCAAAGGAGAAGGGCGAGAGTGAGGTTGTTGCCACTTGCCGGCAGTTGGTCAAGGAAGCGTACGCCGAATACCAATCGGGGCGCGCTGTCGAAGGCCAACAGAAGCTTGAAGAGATGGACGGACTACTTAGCAGGTAGGGTGCGATAAAGCGCCAGCGGTATCGCACCTTCACGGCGTCGATCGGAGGGCTTTCCGCCCGCCGAGGGAAACCGTCGAGGTGCGATAATATCGCACCCTACGAACCGTACCATGCAAGTCCGTGGGCCATTGGGATCGACCTTAACTTCGGCCGGCGGGGCATGCCCTACGCTTCGCTGAAGAGCGCGGGCGCCTCGGTCGACTCTTCCGGCGCTTCCACGCTCAATGGCAGGCACACCACAAACGTTGTCCCCTCGCCCACGGTCGACACGAAGTCGATTGTGCCGTGGTGTTTGTTGACGACCGCGTCGTAGGAGATGGCGAGGCCCTGACCGGTCCCTTTGCCGACGTCTTTGGTGGTAAAGAAGGGATCGAAGATGCGCTCGCGGATCGCTTCCGGCACACCCGGACCGTTGTCGGCGATCTCGATGCGGACCGATTCACTCTCGTAGCGGGTGCGGAGCGTGATCACGCCGAGAGGGCCGTTTTCGCCGTTCTTCTCGGCGATGGCGTCGGCGGCGTTGACGATCAGGTTGAGGAAGACCTGGTTCAGCTCCGCCGGCAGAACGGGGACATGCGGCAACGCCTCGTCGAGGTCGAACTCCACCTCCGCGACGTACTTCCAGCGGTTGCGTGCGATCGTCGCCGCGTTACGGATCCCGTCGTTGAGGTCGGAATCGACGAAGTCATGGGTCCCCGGATGGGACATGACCTTCATCGCGCGGACAATCTCGATGACGCGTCGCGAGGCCTCGGCCGCTTCGTTGATCGCCGACGGCGCCATCGCCGCCACTCGGTTGTAGTAGGATTCGTCAATCAGGCTGCGGACCGATTGCTTGCGATCGTCCCAAGACCGTGCCGGCGAGTCGAGCGTCTTGACGAGTCGATCCACGAGATCGAACAAGCGCTGATGGCACTCTTGCAGAAACTCGACGTTGTTCGACACGCACTGCATGGGCGTGTTGATCTCGTGCGCGATGCCCGCGGCGAGTTGTCCGATCGACTCGAGCTTCTGCGACTGAGCGAGCCGACCCTCGAGGCGCCGGACCTCGGTGAGGTCGGTGACGAAGGCGACATAGACGGGCGTGCTATGAAACACCGCGGCGTGCATCGACACTTGAACGGGATAGGACACGCCGTTTTTGCGGCAGTGCGTCGCCTGGAAATCGAGCACCTTCACCTTATCGCGGACGAGCGGCTCGAGGCGTTGCCGGAAGGATCGGACGTCCGCATCGGCCTTGAGGTCGATCGGCGTCATCCCCAACAGCTCTTCACGCGTATACCCGGTGGCGCGGATGGAGCCTTCGTTCACGACCACGAAGCGGAGGTCGATCTGGTTGAAGATGTAGACTTCGTTGGGAGACTCGGTGACGATCTGCGCCAGGTCGGCGGCGCGACGGGCCTCTTCTTGCGATGACTTTGTCGCGATGACACGGTCCGTCACGTCAACATGCGCGACGACCGCCGCCGCTCCGCCGGCGCCCGCTCCGGCGAATGGGCAGGCTCGGACTTGGTACCAGAATTCCTGACCCGCTTCGCGGTAGGGGTACTCCATGACGAAGCATTCGTCCGACCCCTCCATGATTTCACGCAGCCCGGCGGCGAGCTTCCGGGCGTCGGAGGCGGCGGAGCCCGTGGATTCGTCGCAGAAGCGGAGGTAGTCGACGCCTTCGCCGAGCCGCATCGCATCCGACGCGAAGCGTTCTCCGAAGCGGCGCCACGCCGCGTTGGTCGAGAGGATCACGCCGCGTTCGTCGAGGATACAGACCCGGGCGTCGAGCGAGTCGATGACGTTCGCCAAGTAGTCACGGGCTTCGGCGAGCTGCTCGGTCCGGCGCTCGACCCGGGCCTCGAGCGTGTCGCGTTCTTCTTCTAGCGAGGCCTGGAGCTCCGCCATTCGCCACAGGTGGTCGCGGCTTTGGGCGATGCCCCACACCAGAAACGCCGTCTCGAACAGCACCCACCCGCCGTGCTCCAAGGCTTCAAAGAGCGCCGGCTCGCTGACTCCAAAGACCGATTGGGGCCAATAGACGCCGCGGAAGAGGTGGTCGCTGAGGATGAGCACAACCGCCGGGACAAACACGCGAAAGTCGCGGTAGAACGATAGTAGCGCGAGCGAGCCAAAGATGTGGAAGTGGGCCTCGATGCGTCCCCCCATCAGGTGGATCAAGAGCGCCGAGAACATCATCTGCGCCGCGGTGATCACTAAACGGGTCAGATACTCACCGCTGCGATTCCGCGCGAGCCAGACAGGAAAGACCGTCAGCAGCCCGCCGACGAGCAAGGCAACGACGAGATGGATGTGAGGGGAGCTCTGCGACCCGACCCAGGCCCGAGGCGAGAGCGTCAACGCGCAGACGATCGCCGCGGCCCACTGGGCCACGAGGAGGAACGAGAACACACGATCGGTCAGCGCTTGCAGTTCGCGGAGCGATTGCGTGAAAAGTCCTTCGACTTGCTGAAGCCGCGTGGCGGGGGAGGGCGTCACGATCCGTCTCCGCTGCGGAAGATCGGGCAGCCGTACACGGGGTGACGGCGGCGAGCCGTGGGACGTCCGTTGATCGCGTCGATGACGGCGGTGAGGCCATCATTGGCGCCCTCGTGACCGCGCGACGGTGTGATGCCGCCGTAGAAGACCGCCGGGCCTTCGGGCGAGTAGAGAACGAGCCCGCCCGAAGTCTCGATCCCAAAACCGAGTGCCGCGGCGCCATCGACGTCGTCGTGGACTTCGAGCGACGGGAGGCGCTTCACTTGCTCGACTAACGAGCTGTTCGCCCACTGCGGCGCCGTCGCCCCAGGGCGATAAACGTAGACATCGACCGAAAGCC